CTCGTCGCGCTCTCGGAGCGCGGCCGCGAGCTTCGTCGAGTGCTCGTGATCCTTGTCGACCTCGAGTGCCCGGGTCGACGACTCGAGCTCCGACTGATGCTGGCGGGCGAGCGAGGCGAGCTGTTCCTCGTGGCGGGCCACGGTGTCAGCCATCGTGCTCTCGTGTCCGCCGACGAGCCCGGCTTTCTGTTCGGCGAGCGCGCCCGCGTGCTTATCGGCGAGCTCCTTCTCGCGAGCGCTCAGGGCCTTCGCGTGCGCCTCGTCACGCTCACGCAGGGCGGCAGCGAGGGCTGAGCTGTGGCTGTGGTCTTTCTCGAGAGCCAAGAGCTCAGTCGCAGATTCGAGCGACGCGGCGTGCTTCTCTTGCATGGCAGTAATCGCCTCTTTATGACCTGCCTGCATCGTAGACATGGTCTTAGCATGAGACGCATCTCGAGCGTCGAGTTCATTCTTGTGGCGGTCCGCTAGGCTAGATTCCGCGGACCGGCGCTCGTTCGCGTGAGCCTCGTCGCGTTCCCTGAGCATCGCTGCGAGCTTCGCTGTGTGCTCGCGGTCCTTCTCGATTTCCAGAGCTGATGTCTTGGCGGCGAGTTCCGTTTCGTGCCGGCGCTGTTGCGTCGCGCGCTGCTCCTCGTGCTGTCCGAGCGTCTCGGCCATGGCCGCGTCGTGAGCCGCCGTCAACGACGATCGCAGCTCCGCGAGGAGTGCCGCGTGCTTCTCCGCGAGCTCCTTCTCACGAGCCTCCATCGTCTTGGCGTGTTCGTCGTCGCGAGCCCGGAGCTCGGACACGAGACGCGAGTTGTGCGCGCTGTCCTTCTCGAGGGCGAGCATCTCCGTCGCGGACGCAAGCTCCGCCTCGTGCCTGCTTCGAAGCATGTCCTGCTGCTGCTGGTGCGACTTCTGCGCCTCGTCGATCTCGGTCGCGTGCTGGTCGGCCCTGGACTGCAACGCGGACTTGTGCCCGGCGAGGAGCTCGTCTTCACGAGCGCTGAGCGCCGCGGCGTGGGCGTCCGCCTTCGCTTTGAGAGCGGCCGCGTGGGCGTCGGCTTTGGCTTCGAGCTCGGCAGCGTGAGCGTCTGCCTTCGCCTGGAGCTCGGCCGCGTGCGCGTCCTCGCGCGACTGAAGCGCCGCGCCGTGCAGACGATCTTTCTCCGTCTCGGCGCTGCCGACGGCCCTGCCAACCTCCTGCTCGCGTTCCTCGAGCTCTCCAAGTTTGCGGACCGCCTTGTGCCACGTGTGCCACGCCCGCGAGAGGCTGCTGTATCGCATGTGAGCCACAGCTTGGGCCATCGTCCCACACGCCGCGGCCCTCGACATGGCCTTGCGGGTATGAGTGACCGCGTCGCGCAGGGCGACGTCGTGGTCGACCTCCTTGGCAGAGGCCACACCGGCCATGTGGGTGTACATCGCCCACACTCGGAAGCTGCGAAGTACGCCCTGGATTGCTCCGCGAGTGAGGACACCGTCGGCCATCTTCGACGCCGCCCGGAACGCCGTAAAACGCAGAAGCTCGTCCGCTTCCCGCAGACGCGCCTCAGCCGAAGCCGACAGGCTCGACTCGGCGTCCGCCAGTAGCTTGGCGTGCTCCTCGTCCTTTTCAGCAAGAGTCGCTTGAACAGCCTGCTCGTACTCGAGCGCGGCCTGAGAGAGCGTCTCCTGGTGCTTCTCGGACTCAGAATCAAGCTCGGCACGGTGGAGCTTGTTCAGCGACGCCTTCTCAGCGTCGAAGGCCTCCGCCGCACGCCTGCGCTCCTCTTCCAGCGCTCGGGCGTGGGCCTCAGCAGCTGACTCGGTCGCTCGCTCGTGGGCATCGCCGCGCGAGGCAAGCTCCTGGTCG